CCAAAGTTCAAATCCAGGCTCTGCCTGGTACTACCCGCATGACCATGGCCAAGTTTTTCCACCACTTTGTGTCTTGGTTTTCTCAGATATTAGATGGAGGAGTTGGAACAGATCATCTTGAAGGTCCCCTCTACCTGTAACCAACCTCCTGGCCTTTTTGCAAAAACTGAAGAAATGATTAGCAACATCAATGAGGGCTGCCAGAGTAACCAGGGGTTACCTGGAGAAGCAAGCCTTCCCTGATTCTGGCCAAGCTGCATGCTCAGGTACGTTGGGAATGACAAGGCCCATGGCTGCTCTGGCCAGGTTGGTGAAGCCCTCGTGTTTTTTTTAAGATGGTGAAGCAATATCTTAAACAAGAAAACCTTCTCCCTCCCTCTCCTCTTCCCTTTCCCTCTCCTCCTCTGGCAAAACACGTGAGCCCTTAGAACAGATTCTCTCCCTGGAGAGATGGAGGCAAGACTGGTCATCCACTGCCTCCTCTACACACACCATCATGACTGCTTCCTCATGGAGGCTGGAGCGCGGGAACTCAACTGGACAAGCCTGAATCTGGGCTCCTGGGCACTTGTCTGCGTTGTATTTCCTTTGCTAAAGAGATGATTAAATCTCGATCTTAAGATTGACACACTTAGACTTGGAGATGACCTTGTGAGTTTTTGAGGTCCAAAGTACTTGGGTCCATTGGGTTTAGGGGACTGATAGCAAGGGAAGTTTTTACATGGGAGATGTCCACTGACAAGAGAAGGAGGCCAAACCCAGGCCTGGCTGGCCAGTAGACATGGACTTTGAGAAGACAGTTCAAAGCCACGGTGAAATGACCATCACAAGTAACCTGAATTCAGTAGCATTTTAGTGTTGTTTCCTGTTCCTAACCTATGTCACTTCAAGGCTTTACAATTTTTGTTGAGAGTGCCGCCATCTTTCTAGTCTCCCATATGTACAACTTCTGTTATTTTCAACTCCTTATTCTCACTCACCCCACAAATCCAATCAGTTGCCAAAATCTTACTCTTTCTACCTCCACAATATCTCTGGCATCGTTACCAATTTTTTTTAAGGCAATTGGGGTTAAGTGACTTGCCCAGGGTCACACAGCTAGTGTCAAGTGTTTGGTCTGAGGCTGGATTTGAACTCAGGTCCTCCTGACTTCAGGACTGGTGCTCTATCCACTGTGCCACCTAGCTGCCCCCATCATTACCATTCTTATCAGACATCTAGGTGGTGCAGTGGATAGAGGATTGGGCCTGGAGTCAGGAAGACCTGAGTCCAAATATAGCCTTAGACACTATCAGGGGGACCCTGGGCAAGTCACTAAACCTCTGTTTGCCTCAGTTTGCTCAACTGTAAAAGGGGAACAATAATAGCACCTACTTGGCAGGGTTGTTTTCAGGAACAAATGGGATAATAGTTCTAAGTGCTTAGTACAGTACCTGGCATACAGTAGGCACTATTATAAATGTTTATTGTTGTTCAGCTGTTTTCAGTCATATCCGACTCCTCTTGACTCCATTTGGGGCTTTCTTGGCAAAGATATTGGAGTGGTTTGCCATTTCCTTCTCCAGCTCTTTTACAGATGAGGAAACTGAGGCAGACAGGGTTAAGTGACTTGCCCAGGATCACACAGCTATTAAGTGTCTGAGGTCAGATTTGAACTCCTGTCTTCCTGACTCCAGGCCAAGTACTCTATCCACTGCTCCACCTAGTGCTTCTTAGGCACCTTGCTGATTAATTGGTATCACTATAGTTACCATTTGTGTGTATGTGTGTGTATGTGTGTATGTATGTGTTTTGTTCTCTTGGTTATACACTCTTTATTCTGCATCACTTAACACAAGTCTCCCCATGTTTCTCAATTTCTCATATTAATTGTTTGTTATGGTTTGATAACATTCAACTATATCAATATACTGTACTTTGTTCAGCCATTCCCCAATCAATCGTCACAAACGCTGTTTGCAGTATTTTTTTGTGGCCACAATGGGTGCTTCTACAAATGCTTTGGGACTTTTCTTTCTGTCACTGCCTTCCATGGTATATATATCCAATAACTGGATAGCAAACTCAAAGGGTGTAAAGAGTTTTATAACTCTTAATTGTCTTGGGGGATGATCTCTGGAAAGGCAGGGTTGTGGGAAATGGAGTATCCATTGCAGGGAGCAATTGCTAGTTATTGTTTGGCTATAAGAAAGCATATACGGAGGAGAGTAATGTACGATGAGCCTGGAAAGGCAGGCTGAAGCTAGATTGTGCAGGGCTTTAAAGGATCGGCTGAGGAGTCTGAATTTGGCTCTAGAGGCAAGGGGGAACTATAGAAGTTTCTGGAGGAGAGGAGTCACATCGTCAATATATCTTCAGGAAGATTGTTTAGGTGGCTGAGTAGAGGGGAGGGGAGATTGGAAGCTGTGAGTCTGATTAGCAGGTGAGACGTGGAGAACACCCGAAGTAGGTGGTGGGCCTGTGATTGAATAGAAAGGGAGGGATGCGAAACAATCCTTAAGGCTTCATAACTGATTGGATGTGGAGGGGGGAGTGATGGTGATGGGAGGGAAGAGGCACATTTAGATTTAAGGTTGTCCCAAAGTGGAATAGACTCAAGTGGAAAATAGCAGGCTTCCCCTCATTGAAAGTTTGCAAGCAAAGAATGGGTTCTTTTTCAGGAAGGATTTGGCTGCCAACATCCTTTCCAACTGTGAGATTCTATGATTGAGTCAATTCTGGGAAATCTGATTTTCTGGGAAACTTTCCTCATATCTATTTATGTTCTCTTGTCCTGAATATGTCCTTGGGGAAAGTCATATGCCTTGGACTGTGCACTATAAGCCGCTAGAGGTCTTCATTACAGAGGGCAGGACAGCGAAGACATTGGGTCATGAGGTCAAAGAGAGCCACACATTTAATATTTTCTAAGCTCTTGTTTCTGTTGCTTCTGCGTCAGAGGTAACAGGACGTTCACTTGCTATCGCCAGAGAGAAGACATAAAGTCATCATTCTTTCTTACTGACCCACCATAGGGCATTATTATTTAAAATGTCACCCGGACAAATGTCTGTCCTCATGATTATTTTC